GTATATTCTTCTTTTGCTTGCTCTGGCGATCCCATCTGGGGCAGACTCAGGTACAATAATCAATCGCAAGGTGCGAACCTATAAAGAATCATCGACAAAGACAATCAGTATCAGGAAATATGTCCAAACTAGGGTTTAGAGGCAGGGTGGCAGAGAGGTTAGAGCACTGGACTTGCAATTAAGAAGTCCCGAGCTCAATAGGCTCTTTGCATGACTTGATCACACGTCAAGTGATCAAGTCATGCAAAGAGCTCATCCCACCCTGAACAGAAGCTGGATTAGTTCTTGGTAATGTTGTAAGTTTAACTCCCAGGCCATACTTATAAATAGCCAACTGGCTTGCCTCCGGCTAGCTGGGATTCTTAACCCTGTTAAGTTTGATTTGAATTATTAAAATCTTACAATGTCAAGCCAAGATTTATGTATGTACCTGTAGCACAGCAGTTAGCAAATAAGCCAAGTATTTAACATGACATACCATGAAAAATCCAATGCTGACACTCATCCACAACAGAATGAGGTAATATCCAGCTGAGTGAAACACAAGTCCACCAAGACAGCTCACAATCATGCTAAAGAGAACAAAAAACACAAATTCCTTCAGGAAGTGGGGATAGGGACTTTACAATCAGACGAGTTGATAGCAGTGAAAACCCATCACTTAAAAACTGAATTTACTTTCTTACAGTCTTAACCGTGATTAAAACCTACACCCCCCCCTGATTTGAATTCCTAGGATCCCTATCCAAATTCAGAAAGAGAGAGAAAATTTGGTTGTTGCTTGTTTATGCCCTCCATAAAATGTAGAACTTGGCAGTTTCACATCGTAGTTATACAAAAACGGCAAAGAAATGTACAAAAAAGTGTAATACACGTACAAAGTTGTTGTTTTGCCTTCTAAACCTAACAGTTTTTTTAAGTTGTCCTTGCTATCGCGTTGTCTGATCACTAAGTCCCTATTCCTTATTGACCAAGCATGAGATCAACATAACTGGATAGGGCCCAACAAATTTTTGTATTTTTACAGTCTGAGATGAAGATCATGTCAATAAAAATCAAAATTCATTTATTAATCATTTAAAATGAGAGAAACCAATAAAATTATGTATTTCATTGTAGTCACTACAATTTGCATTCCCATTCATGCTCATACAGATCTCCAAACCATATTTTATCTAAAAGTACAAACTGTATCCACCCATGCTCATGTTTTATCTCATAGTTACTAAATGGCTGATCCTGGGAGAACAAAAGGTAAACGAAATCCTCTGTTCTGATTGGTTACCCAAGCAGGCAAGATGGGCCTGCTGCCTTCCATACTCGGGTTTCCCTGCTTTGGTCCTACAGGAAAAAAAGTTTTCTTGGCCATGTAATTACACTACATGTAGGCAGAGAAAAACTGGGTATAAGCCATGGAAACTAAACTGATGTCATTGAGCACGTTATACAGACCAAATGAAGTTTAACTGCTCAACTGACAAACATACCCAAAATATTTGTAGCCACAGAATGCTAAAAGATCCAGCCATTTAATTTCTGCTTGTACATTACAGAGGTACATGGAAAACAGAATAGCCATAATCTCAACAAACAGCCACACCAATGCCGAGCTCGCTGTTATGCCTAACTGCTCAGGAGTGAATCTGAAAAAAAAAGAAGAGAGATTTAGCACTTTTACGGAGTGCCAATTTGGTTTATACTAATATGATTGGAGAATTCTCATACCTGTTTTGTGTTCCCATGACAAGTCCAGCCACAAGAATGTACGTAACAAAAGCCATTACTGTTGAGTTAAAAAGGACAACAAACCAAGACAGTTATGGAAATATGTAGTCATTCAGTCACTAACAAGAATACTGACTCATTAAAGAAAAAGTCACTCAGGAAATAGTCTTCTATGCAGCCATTTTTTGTCTCTTCACACAACATTGCTCCTTGTGGGGAGAAGCATTGTGTGAAGAGACTATGGCTGCTTAGGAGACTTCTCAGGAAAGGAAAGTTTCAATGTATTTGGTTACTAATGTTGTCCAAGCATTCAAAATTCATCTGATTCTATTGAAGTTTTTTCAAAAGATTGTAAAAACTGGGCATCATAGGTACCCACTTTGGATCATGTAAGACATAATTCCACCCAGTGCAACCTTCTCTTCTGATCATTAAAGATGTAGTAAAGACAAGGGAATCGATTTTTTTTTCAGGTAAATGTAACATCAATAATTCGTCTGATGAAGGGATCATAAGAAATTACGACAAGATCATCCAAATACATTTTAAACACTTTGATCTCTTTTATCTGGTGTTTCTTGGTGTTAGGGAAACCATCGTTGGTTGGCTTTTGTGTTGTTGTGTGGCTACTGCTCAGTGTCTTTTCAATCTTTTGTATCACATCATTTGGTGATTACACCTCTCTGCAACACCAAGAAACTACTCTTCTATCTACTACCATCTTTTACACTGTGCATCTACATTGTATTTTTAACAATAATCAATTTTATTAATACTGGTGCAAGTTCGTGGTTTAAACATTACCTGGGATGTATAAATCAGGAGCATTAATTTCATATCTTGGAGCAACAGGTTCTGACTTGTTATACTGCACGGACCAGTTCTACGAACACCAACAAAAAACTTAAAATGCTAGTTTTGGTGTTCAAAACAGAATTACCATATTTCATTTAAAATATTACACTATAAAAAACTTTGAGTGAAGGGCTAGATACAAGGCACCGTGGGGTAATTTGGCTACTACAGTACATTTGGAGGCAGAGGTCATGGTAAATGACTGTTGACAAATAACCCCTGGAGTTTTGACAAAAGTATTCACTGTGGGAGACCAGTGAACTTAAAATGTGATATGTTTTTTGGAACTTTTTTTCCCAACAAAAATAATTTTTATCGTTGGTATAAAGTCAATGGTCATCAAGAGGCAGTTTGTCAGCCAAGCAGTTTTTTTTGGGAACTTTCCTTACTTGTTACTGTATATTGAAAAGCCTAATGGAACAGTATATAAATTAATCAAAGAATGACACCTTCAGTTTAGATTAAGTCAACCTATCTAGTCCTAAGCACAATGTACATAAATATACGTAGTAAATTAGCCTTATATACAAAAAAGGAATTCAGTCAGCAGGGCCGTAATATGTACATACTTTGTGTGTGAAGGGGAAAATGAGAAGCCCCAGCTTTTTGACAACATATGATGTATCTACAGCAAAGTAGTACTTTAATTTTGACATTGAAACAAAGCGGTCAATCTGTAAAGAAAAATAGGAGAAAGTTACATGTACACTAAATTAAATCATAATATTGTGGTGTAATTATTTATATCACTATTCTTATATTTATAAGGGACTTAAGGCTCACAAATCAATGAAACGGAAGATGCAAGAGCTTCAGCTGCAAATCAGGGGCAAATGCATCTCGTAGAAAATGTTTGTATAAGGAACTAAAAGGTGATCAAAAAACGTCAAACTTACATGTTTCTCCACATATTCTTTTCCTTGATTAGCCATTTGTGCCCCATATCCAACAGCTACATTGGCCATGGGACCTTGCAAAAATTCATTGCCAGCAAACTGTCCAAACTGTGTGGAAAAACCTGGCATTTCCTGTCTGTTTTCCATACTGGTGTCTTCAAACAATGGCGTGGGACCACTTGATCCCCCATAGTAGCCCCCTTGGTGGTGAGCTGTAGAATAATAGTAAAAACTGCTACATTTAACTAGCAAATTTAAGCTAATCTTCAGAAAGCAAGGAAAAAAAACCAAGTAATTTGTATAGGCCTGCGTACTACTAATGCCCTAGTGTATCCTGCAAGCAAACCCACTTTGGGTGGCCCAAAGTCCCCCATGAGAGCTTGCCTAAAGGCTATGTCAAGTGCAATTTTTACAACTGCTGAGAACATAAACCCTTTCAAATACCCCTGGCACTTCAAGTTCAGTTGTGTTTGATGTGACAGGCAAAAATAATAACATTAAACATTCTTATTTTTAAGTAATTGTAGAGAAAATAACTTCATGACTATCTCTGTCTGTATTAAAATCAAAACCTAGCACTCTTTACTCCATAAACCTTCCAAACTTTGCCCTGTGAAAAGCCATGGCAAGAAATACATTAAATGCAATGGGCAGTTTAATAGAAGCACTGATGTACAAAAGTTGCATTTTATGATCTACAAAACATTGATTAATAATAATAATAATAATAATAATAATAACAATAATAACAATACATTGCTGTAGTGTGAAACCCATCATATACTGTACACTGTACCTGATAAATGTCGTTTCTGGACAGGTGGCCTTTGGCTGTACATTTCAGAACCTTCTGGAAAGACATAATAATAATTGGCATATTAATAAAATAGGCAACAAATCTTTTAAAGGCTATTAATATTTTTGTTTCAATGATAGCACTTAAAAATGATTATAAAGTTAATTAACCTTCCTCACACTTTTTTTTATTCAACTTAAAAGCTACTACAGAAAATTTGGGGACTAAAAGAATAGTTTACATCTTTGAAGGCCCCCTCCACACGAATCCAGATATTTTTGAATCTGCAACTTTTTCATTCTGGAATTAAAAAAATTTCATGTCCACATGTTTACATATTCAAATCAAATTTGCCATCAACACATATCCGGATTCACCTTAGTACCCAGGACTCTTCTGGAAATATTGGCAATATTGTTTTTGTATCAATGGGTAAGAAAAAGAACCCAGGAACAAGGTTGCCATCTTGAATACAGTATTCACAGTAAAGAACTGGGTTCGATCTTGTTATGTCACTGGACAAAAAATGTCCGGATTTAGCATCCATCTGGAGAGCGGATTCAAAAAGTTGCGGATTCATGCGCCAGATTCACTGGATATGTGTGGATGGAAGCCGTATCCAGAAAGAGAAAGTTCTGGCCTAAAGAGACAATACTTAAAGTTTCTACCCTGCTTCGTTTTCCAAACTGGTGAGAAAAACATTTTTAAAAATTAAAATCAAAAACATTGAATATTTTTGGGCCAGAGTTAAATTATTGGCATCTGCCATCTGTGTTCGCTTCTTCAATAGATTAATCTTGTTATGCAGAATACTATATTGATTAAAGTTGTGTTACATGCAGTCACTTTCCCTCCTTTTAAATTTATTTGTAATGTTTAGGCAAAGCTAACTTGAGAGAAGAGTAAGATAATACATTCCCAATAATATTAACATTATTTCAAGTTCTTTCTAACATTTTATCAATTAATGGAAGAAACAACCGGTATGCCTTGAGCTTTTGTCTTAATTCACAGTGTTAATATTGTGATCATTATTTGATTTTCACCTTTAATATTGTCATTAATTTCATCATTAATAACTAATAAATACATTTAGTAATATTAGTATACAACACAGAACTGTTCTGAAACACTTAACCTCTATGAGAGAACAGCAGTTGTTTTTAAGACTAAACAGCAGTTGTTTTTAAGTTTTAATTTATAAGAGAAAAAGCTGTCAGAGATGAGTTGTTAAAAGCTAAAAATAGTGTAGGAGTTTTACAATATTTTTGCTATGTTTATAAACATGTGATGAACATAAAGCATGCAGAATAATATTAAAGAAAGATTAGTGGAGAGATACCATCATAAGGCGAACGTCTGCGAGGACTAGTTTGCATTGGGTAGAAGTTAGAGTCTACAGAGAAAACAAAGATGGAACTATGAATAAAATTAACAGTCAACTTAAACAGACACTTCCATAAAATTATCGCTGCCTAGTTTTGGTCCCTACTGTCTATGTTTGACTCTCTAGAGGAGGATGATGCTGTTTGTGGACAAGATATGAGCCTCTCAATGGCTACCTGCAGACATTTTTTGTTGTTGTGGTGCATTTTTCCATTGTCGGTTTTTGACAAAATCAAACAATAAATAAATAATTGTTTGCTTGGTAATGCTAGTAGCAAGCTACAGCTACCACAGGATGATGACGGAAATTATAGAAATTAGAAAAAACTTCATAGTCAAAACAAAATCTCTGAATGTGCACGACACTTTTTGGCAAATTTCTTTGGAGCCATCGAATGACCAATGTTCTCAAACTTAATCAGAATGGTACTGCAATAGTTGCTTTAACCTCTAAGAATGTTGTTTCATCAAACAGCGATTGCCATGACTTTGATTTCAGAGGAAATACCCATAGAGAGTCTCAGATATGAATTATGGGCCATTTCCTTTGTAAATTCAAACAAAAAAATTTCTTCTTGAGCTATATAATGTGCCTAATGCTGTGTTTACACTCAAGCGTTTACCAAGGTAAACATTAACTGACTAAACCCTGGTACATTTGTACAGTGTTCATACGGGCTCAAATAACTAAGGTAAGTCTGTCATCAATCACAATCTAATCAAATTGGCGGCAAATTCTAAATCCACGCATAAATGCTCGCGTTTAAAAGAGAAGCTGTGGCTCTTGTAGTCCTCGCGTTTTATTTTCTTGTTCTTGATCAGCAAACCCAGGAATCGAGTTTGCAGCAGCTCTTACTTTTGCAGCACCTAAAGAGGTGGAGGCGAAAGCGATTAATTCTGCTACAAATTGCCCTTCGCAAGACAAGGCGCGTTAGACGTGCGTGGTCGTGGCCGAGAAACCAATTCTGGTTTGAAACTCTATTAAACGGAAATTTTGTTGAAGAATGGTGTGTCTTTTGTGTCTTTGGTTTTTGCCATAACTTCTTCGTAGACCGAAACCAAACGTGGAAACCTGGTCGAAAACCTAGTCTCGAAAACCTGGTCTCGAAAACGTGATCGAATGAGCCTGACGCAATCCCGACACCACAGGATTTGAAATTCTATGTGACCGCAAGCGGATGTATCTGTCATCCAAACCTTGGTTACCGACCTTAACCATGCCTTTTCACAGGGCAAACCGAACTTTTACCTTAGTTAACTTTCTATTGTCTTGAGTGGTGTTTACCAGGGTATCAGTTGGCGTTTACACACGCAAAATATTTACTTAGGTAAATTAACTCCAATACCTCGGTAGCACGCTCAAGTCTAAACACGGCATAAGTCTACTGCTTGAAGCATATTCACTTTTCAGATATATGCCAAATGACTGCTACGTTTTTCAGACTCTCTTAGAATGACTAATAAAATTGATTTAACCCCCCTATCCCAAAAATTGCTAAAAAAAAAAAAACAGACATTGGCTGTGAAGTAAACTAACTGATTAAACAATACTACAGTGGAACCTCGATATAACAAATGGCAAAATAATAATGGACTGGCGAAATTTTTTCAATATGAAGAGGTTTCCTTATATCAGAGTTCTGTTTCATATGTTTTACTATTACTGGGGTAAAGAAAATCGCTTTTTATACCAAGGACTTTGCTATATGTAGAGGTTCGACATATCGAGGTTCACTGTACAACAACAGCTAATCCGTCCTGGTATCTCTTTACATGTCTGACTCTTTCTTTTTTTATCACATATCTTAGATTTTGTTCCTTACTTTTTATTTTAGCTCATTC